AATAGTTATTTTTACATTTTACATTTACATTTTTATTTTATTTCACATATTATACCATTTTCATATTGGGACCCAGTTATTTTGTAACACGTAATTTCATAAAAAAAAACATACAGCTCTGCACACACAATAGTTTTATGTTATTATGTTTTCTACATTATTTATGTGTTTTTATTTTATTTTTTATTTAATCTTAGATGAAAAAAGTGACTAATTTATCTTAACAAGAAAATAAGAATTAATTTCATTTTTTAATCTAAAATAAGTTAATAATCTGTGTTAAAAAAATTTAAAAAATTTAAAACTGTTATGTTTTAAAAGCTGTTTTTTTAAGCAATATATCTATCCCAAGTTAAAATATGTGTAGTTCAACATGATTTCTTCATATAAAACAATATTTATCCCAAGTTTTGCAAAAATCGAGAGTAACTTGGAACAAGCATATTTTTTTAAAATGTTAAGTTGGGGGGGGGGAATCAAAAAAAAAATAACATATGTGTCTTATAGTCTAAGCTAAGACCATAATTTTTGGTCCTTACCATTATTATCATATTTTGAAAACTTATCGATCAGCATTCATCTGAAGTTTAAAAGTGTCCCATGTAAACACATTTTATGGTGTACGTTTATATACATCAAACAAATAATTACATTTCAATATCATTAAATGTATTTAATTCAGTTATTTTTTTTATGTTTAGATTGCTATGGTAAGGGATTTCATACTCGAACATAATACATACCTACTATAATAATAATTTAGTCACGCAAATGAACCATTATATAGCAGAACTTAGCAAAACATTAAGTTAGTAGTTATATTTTAGAAAAAATAAGGTGTAGTATATATTAATTGATCTACAATAGGTGTCGTGTGGGACACGTAATTTGTAATAGATGTGATAAATTCAATGTTGGGTATTAAGAGATAGTAATAGTTATAAGTTAAGTTATTTGTAACTTATTAACTCAACTTACTAGATAGCTTTTTAAATTAACTTAATTTTAACTTAACTAATTTGTACCTATACTTACTACGTTAACTTAAAATAAACTTATATTGTTTTTATTATTCACAATTAAGTTAGTTTTGAATATTCATATTATCCAAATATTATCTATATAAGTTATAACTTCGTAGTATATAGAAAATATCATTAGAAAAAAAATATAAATTTACGAAGAGTTTCGTACATATTTTTATAAATAAAAACTTATATGTTGTACCTATTAATTAGGTAGGTACTAATTAATAATAATATATTGGTAACAATGTGTCAATCTAACCTTATTATTATTTCGTCGCCTTATAAAGACATCATTAGATACGAGCAAACGAAGCCCCGATTCATAATACCTATATAATAACTCAATAGTTATTCTTTATTATTATTCAATACTATTTAATACCTACCTACAATTATTATGAATTATGAAAATTTTGATTTATACGTTTTATTTTATATTATAATTTTTTTTACAAAAATAAATACCTACCTAATACTTGTGTACCTATATTATAGTATACTTAATATTATGATATTATATAATAATATATATATTACTAAAAAAAAAAAATTGTATTATACATTTATACTATAATTCATTCAGTTTACACTGGTATTAAAATTTAATTGATATTTAGAATTTTAGAATACTGAATAACCTAATTTTAATATGCAAATGTATTGAATAAGCTTAAAACAAAATGTAGGAAATGTTTGGGGGGCTTAGCCTCTAAATCCCCCCTACTTGCACATATACCTACATGTATTAAATTATACTTAGATACATACTAATATATATATAGGTACCTATCACCATTGGTTGATACTTTGATACCTATAATACCTACTATAAAATACAGATTATGACTTATTTTAATACCTATATTTTAATTTAAGTTTAAAAATTAAATTAACTAAACTTATGAATTGAAGTTTAGTTAAATTAACAGTATTTGGTAAATTAATTAACTTAATTGATATATTAAAAATGTCTATTAACTTAACTTATAATTTAATTGAAAAATAAAATACTTAACCTTATATGAAAATATCATTAACTTGTCCAATGTCCACCCTTGTTTAAATTTGAATACAATGATATTATTATATTATCATGGTGTATAAAAAACAATAATTATTTTAATCAAAGATTAAATTTTCACGAATCATTTTATCAAAATAAAATATAATATTTTGTATGTTGTAAATCTCTAACAGTAGAATTATGGGCTGTTGGATTTTCAGGTATGTATAAGCTTAGAAAAATAATGATTGTATTTAATTACCTAACCAATAATTATTCAATTTAGTTATTATATGGATCAGTATGTAACATAAAGTAATAATAAACGTTTAATAATTTACATGTATAGTTCATTCGGGATTAATAAACTACTGTTTTTTACAACAGTTTAGTAAGTAGTTTAGATTTATAATAATGTAATTACTAAAAGTATCTAAGTAAATTATCTTTTCTATGTTTTTTCTAACAAAAACCTATACAGTATAAACATATGATTTCTTTTTTCAGAAAACTAAAAATTTGACGGGATAAATAATTTACATAATAATTTATACCAAGTGAAGTTAATACATTTCTAAAGTCATTATTAAGTGGTTTTGTTTCAATACCACATTAGTACATTACCCACTATTAGTGGTTGAATATTCTATTTTCTTGTTTATTTCATTAGATCAAGATAGCATGGATACGTTTCCAACCCATTTTATTTTACTGTTATTCGTGATCCACATCGTTCTGCGTTTTTTAGAATACTGAGTACATATAATTCATTAAGTTTTTTTTTGGTCCTTCGTTTAAATTCTCTTTTATTGTCTTTCTTTGAAATTTACAATTTTTATCGAAGTAATGAGACCTACATTGCGGCTAAGTATACTATTTCTTTAATAAATAACCTGAACGCACAAATACATTCATTTTTGACAAATCAATTTTAATTGTATTGCTTATTTTTGATGTGTACTGTATCTGATAAAATAACATCGAGACTAGACGAAAATCAGTTTTTACGCATCTCCAAGCTACACCCTGTAACTGGGACTGCTATCAAATTATCAATGGTAGGTGTCTCGCGGGCATATGCACATAATTGCTGTGTTCACTCCTCACTCGATGGATAGAGTATTGATCTAGTCTACAGTAAATATCTATGTACACTCCTCGCTTTTGTTGTGTATTTATTAAGTATACAGTCTCTAAGGCCATATCAGGTGTTATCTCTATGGATTTACCATATAACTTCTATAACACATAATGGGTAATATACTAATATACTATACAACCAATTTGTATTTCATACATTGTTACTGTAATTCACGTGTGTTCTTGATTATCATGAAAAATTACCTATTCCAACTGTTATGCATATACCCGTTGAGTTTTATGAGTGTTTTTATAAATACGTACACATGGTTTTTCGTTAATTGACTGAACTACAGCCAAAATGTGTTTTATTGAACATATTGACTGATAGTAATAATAATGATAATATTATATACTATGGTAACATAATAATTAATAATAACAAATGATAACAGAGTAGTGGACTGTATAGCATTATACATGAAAAATGCCCAAACGTACTCCCCTCGTTGAGGACTGAAGGGTTTTAACAACAATACAAAAAGTGTCTTAAACAGAGACAACATAATATAAATAAAAAAATAAATATATTAAGTGGTAATATAATATGAAATGTGAATTAAGTAATAATAAGTAGAATAATATTTAACGATTATAAATTAATTATTGATGAATAGGCCACTTGATTAATTTTGTGATGGGTCTTGTCAGCTCTGCTACAGCAGTATGTATTTTAACCACTCTTACTTGACCATCACTGGTACTTGGAAGCAGTTGAGTGATTCGAGCTAAAGGCCACTATGTAGGTGAAGTCTGAATGCCCTTAACTATGACAATATCCCCTACTTGTAGATTGGGTTGAGTAAATCGCGACTTGGGCCTGTTCTGTAATGAACATAAATATTCGGATGTCCATTGTTTCCAAAATCCCTGTTAAAGTCGTTGTATGAGGTTCCACATAGTCAAACGATTCATAGGAACTTCTGTTAGTTCTGGTTCTGGCAAAGCTAGAAGTGGTCTTCCTATAAGGAAGGGTCCAGAGGTTAAAGCTGAATAGTCAGTGGTATCCATGGAGATAGCTTGAAGTGTTCTGGAGTTTAGAATGGCTTCAATTTGGCAAAACAAGGTGTATAACTCTTCCTCAGTAAAGAACATGTCTCCTGTAACCTTATTTAGAATACCCTGGGCAGACCTTATATTTGATCCCCACAACCATCCATGATTAGGTGAAGCAGGTGGAATGAATTTCCATTGAATTTCGTTTGACTGGAAGAATAACGTAACAGAGTTCTGATGATCAGGTTGCTGAACTAGTTTATATTATAGCTCACACAATTTGTTGTTTGTACCAGTAAAATTGAATACTAATGATACTTGGATGTCCTCGACGAGCAATAAAACGTCTTAATGTAGCAATAAAATCTTCAGTAGTAAGCCCATCTACCTTTTTTAAATGTACTGCCTTAGTAGTCAAACATATGAATAGGATTTTGTGTAGGTACACAATTTGGAATTTGGAATTTACGTTGAATGGGCTGGCAAAGTCGACTCCAACTTTTTCAAAGGCAGTTGCTGGTGTAATTCTGGATGTAGGTAGATTTGACATAGGTTGGTGACATGTTACCTTTCAAAATCGATAACATTTAATACAGTTATGTATTACCTTTTTGACAGAGCTTCAATTGTGTATGATCCAATATCTCTGTCTAACAAGGGTCATACTAACCGACAAACTTGAATGTAAGTTATGTAGGTGCACTTGGTTGATGATTATTGTAGTGAAGGAGTGATTTTTTTTAGAATAATAGGATGTTTCAAGTGATATTCAAATTCTGAATGTCTGAGACGACCACCCACTCTTAATATTCCTTTTTCATCTATAAAGGGATTCAAAACAGAAAGTCCATTAGTGAATGCATCAACTGTGCTAGGAGTGTAGCACCACACAATTCCAGCCTAGGTATTGTGACTTTTTTCAGTGGGGGGACACGAGTTTTCGATACCAATAAATGTCCAGTGTTATTTGAGATGATGTAGATAGCTATCACATAGGCCCGTTCTGAGCTATCTGAAAAACTATGTAGAATACAACCTTGTTGGTTGTCCAATATGTAGTCAACATGACGTATAATTTCAAATTGCTGTAGATGGTTGTATGATGTTTGATGAGCAATCCAATGTTCAAGAAGTTCTTTTGACACAGGGTCATCCCACTCGGTACCTGTCTGCCAAAGTCGTTGCATGAGGACCTTTGAAACTATTATCAGTGGCGCCAGCCATCCACATGGGTCATAGATGCGTGTAATTTCTCAAAGTAAATCACGTTTAGTAATTCGTTCCAAACGTGTTATAAGTTCTACTTTAAATTAAAACGTATCTCTCGTGGTGTTCCACGAAATACCCAACACAGATACATTATGTTGATCAGGTATAAAAACCTGCAACAGTTTATGCTCGGCTGGAATGTTTGAGGCATCATTGGCGTTGTTACAGCCTGACATGACTTCATCGACATAAAAATCATTCTTGAGTAATGTGGATCCTTCAGGATAATTGGCTTGTTCATCTACAGCGAGTTGAGCAAGTGTGCATAAAACATGAAATGGTGAAATTATCAACCCATAAGGGACAGTTTACAATTTTTACATTTATATTGGTTCTGGTGGGAGATTTTTCCATACAATGCATTGATAACACTGGTCACCAGGGTGTATCTCAATCTGCCGAAACATCTGACGTATGTCAGCAGTATAAAAATATCTGTACACACGGAATCTGGTGACTACTCTTACTATGTCACGCTGTAGATTATGACCTCGATGTAACGTGTCGTTCAGTGACTTCCCGTTGCAAACAATAGCAGATCCATCAAAGATAACTCTCAATTTAGTAGTGACACTAGACTGAATATGATGCGTTAGTAATATGGTTGGACTCTCGTCAGTGGGTATACAAGCTCCATGTGGTTCGGTTTAAGATAATCAGCCATGAATTGTCGGTACTATTAGTACACTGATGGACTTCGAAGCAGCGACCTCTCCACCTTGGTGAGTCTTCGTACAGCAATGTCGTATGAATTGTTCACAGAGTGCTGAATCTCCTTAAACGGCAATCGTACAACGTAACGCCCACTTTCATTGAGTTTAAATATTTTAAGAGGACGTGTCACCCAAAAAAATCACTCGAAAAATTCCTTTAAAAACATGTTTGCGCGTTCCAATAATATGGGTTACTGAGTGGTTTTATCATAAAAACACCTATGAACAAAATTGTAGAGGAGAATTTTATCTGGTTCCGTAAGAAGCCCGATTTTTGAAATTTTCATTTCTAAGTCCTAAAATTAACTTCCGGAAAATGAAAAAAAAGTGTATTATTAATCATGATATATTTCATGATGTTTTAAAGATATCAAAAATCGGGCTTCTTACGGAACCAGATAAAATTCTCCTCTACAATTTTGTTCATGGGTGTTTTTACGATTAAACCACTCAGTAACCCATATTATTGGAACGCGCAAAGTATGTTTTATAAGAAAACTGCAGAAAATTACGCTCGGCAAGTGCTGCGCCCGTAGTCAGTGGCAGCGTTCGATACTAGCTGTGCATACCACCACCCCGCGCGCATTAACGGCGGTACCGCACCGTGGTCAAAACAGGTTCCCTATCGCAGCCGACCGCCCGTGCATAGTTTATAAATAACCAGATAAGAAAATGATTATTATATTTGTGACAAATAATATTTAATTTGGTTCGATTTTATATTTTGTATTCGTATCCGAATATTATACAAATAAAAACTATACTTTTGTTCTTCAAGTAGGTAATAGTGTAATACGGCTTATTGAAGCGGTTTGCAATAAAAATATCTATTATAAAAATTGTAGAGGAGAATTTTTTTAACAATCGTAAGGAATCCGATTTTTGATATCGTATTCCAATCGTCCAATATCGCATGATAAATTAACAATTTTTTTTTTTACTTTTTATCGATTAATTATTTAACTCATTAATAAAAATATAAAAAATCGGGCTTATTTCGATTATTAAAAAAATTCTTCTCTCCAACTTTTATAATAGGTATTTTTACTGTAAACTGCTTCAATAAGCCGTATTACTTGAATTACGAAACCATATTTTGTTCACTAGGCCAAACTCTTCTTATCCGAATTTTATACAAATAAAAACTACTTTTGTTCTTCAATTAATACGGCTTATTGAAGAGGTTTACAGTAAAAATACCTATTATAAAAGTGGTAGAGGAGAATTTTTTAACAATCGTAATAAATCCGATTTTTGATATCGTATTCCAATCGTCCAATATCGCATGGTAAATTAACATTTTTTTTTTTTACTTTTTATCGATTAATTATTTAACTTATTAATAAAAATATAAAAAATCGAGCTTATTTCAATTGTTGAAAAAATTCTTCTCTAAAACTTTTATAATAGGTAGTTTTGCTGTAAACTATTTAAATAGGCCGTATTACTTGAATTATCGAACAATTTGGGTATGATAAAAAAAAGAAATAGGTAGGTACTCAAAAAACCATTTATAACAATTAACAGAAATCATTCAATGTAGACAATCTAAGCCACAACCAGGTAAAGTGGTACATATTATAAATTGAATATAATTTGCGAACGGATATTTTAAATAGTCCATACCATATATTTGGCAAACACTCTAATTGTGCCCGATATTTTTGCACTGGAAGAAAGTTATACGAACTGAATTTGATCGACCAGTGGCGTCCACAGGGGGGGGCCTAAGGGCTAAAGCCCCCCCCCCCATTACCCATATTATTATTACTTTTTCAAAAAAATATTAATCAAGTTAAACTCTCAACTATAGTAAGCAAGACGTAAATTTCAAATATGTCTTACCAGAATGAATTCATTTTTGAAAAAAACATTGTATTTGTAACATACCAATTTTCATAAATTATCTGTAATTTTTCGGTAAAAGTATGAACTATTTGTATGAAAGACCTTGTATTAAATTGTCTAGCCTTAGCTATACACATTTAATATTTTATAAGTTTTGAGCTACAAATTAACTGTGGTTTTGACGAAATTTGAACTTTAAATGCTTATAAAAAATAAGCATGATACCTATGTATCGTTAATATTTTAGCTATAATAAAAAAACTTACGTATTACATTTTTAAGCTTTTTGACCGGATAAATAATATTTTATTGACATTTATAGAAAACAAAAATTTAATTATTCAAATACAATCCAAGTGAAGACGGTATAACCAAACATTTAAATAAATTTTCATTTTTTTTTCTAAAATTATTTTTAAAAGCACTGAGCATTTTCAATTTCAACCTCCTAATAGTACCAACTAGATCCAATTTGCTTCCAAAAACATACACTGAGCATCGGAGCTTATGATCAGAGCATTTTTTCTACCAGAAAAGTTGAAAAGTTACAAACATTTTAAAATACCTCAAATAAACGTCTGAAATTATTAAGGTACGCACACATTGCTGCGGTAGACGGTACGGTAACGATACGGTAACGGTAGCGATAAAATTGAGCTCATAGTTTTATATGAGGCAAACCACATTGGTACGATATTATCGGATCGGTGAACGGTAGGCGCGCCGATAATCTTTGTGCGGTAAAGTTTAAAACTAAACGAATGTAATTAAATGTAGATGCGCACATTGCTGCGATAAATCGCCGGTACGGTAAAAAATATCGTATCGTGCTCCGATATTTTTTTAACGTTGCATGCACGATAATTACCGTCTACCGGGCCGATAAATATTAATAGCAATAATGTTTATCTATTTTGTAATAATTATGACATACATAATATGAAGCTGTTTAGCTGTTTATTTGTACAACTATATTACCATTATGGCATTAAGTGCTATATGTTATACGTACTACCTTAAGGTACCTAATATAATTATATTAATTAAGTATTAAAAGTACAGTAGGTATATCATAATAATTAATATTAATAATAAGTTTTTTATCAAATATACTCCTATACTCCCATTCTGCAAATGTGGGCAAAAATTACCTTTAGTTAGTTAAGTTAAGTCAAGTCAACATTAAGAAAGCTATAATTTAAGATTTAATAAACATTATACTTCACTCTTAAGTTTAAAGTTAACACCTGAAAAAATATGAACTTAACTCAGTTATATAATTACTTTTTAATTTAGCTTTAAGTAAAAGCATTTTGATTAACGTATAGTACGTATATTATTAATTTATTATAATTTTTTGATATAGAGTTTCTTTACAATTAATAATAAGAAAATTAAGACATTAGGTACCTATACAGGAACATAAATATGGGAACATACTTGTATTATAGGCTCATTTACAGAGAAATTATCGTCTTGTGGGAAGGGAAGGGTTTATAAAAAAAATATTCATATTAATTTTACATAGCTGTCGGAAAAAAATATTTTTGAAAATAAATTGAGAGGGTATAAACCTCAAAATTTCTATATGTGTGTCAGATATATCGTACCGCATTACCGCAGCAGTGTGTGCTAGTTGTAACGAAAAACGTTCCGGTACGATATTTTACCGTCCGGTAACTCATATCGTTACCGGATCAGTGTGCAAGCTCCGACGGTAAAGATTACCGCACAAATAAAAATATTGATTACCGTATCGTTACCGTACCGTCTACCGCAGCAGTGTGTGCGCACCTCGTGACTGGACAAAATGAAAAGAAAATTGTAACTAATTTTCAAGCCCCTCCCATTGAAAAATCCTGCGGACGCCACTGTGATCGACGAAGTATTGCAAAGTGGTTTGATGAAAGAAATGACAACTGCACTTAGACGTGTTGCTGATAATGCAAAAAGTTTATTACTTGATGTTGATAAATGATAACAACATCTGCGAACAGTTTAATAGTGCATTAATAAGCACATAGGCGGTAAACGAATTAATTTTTCTCAAAAACAGTCGTACACCACTAAAATATATACTGCTGTACTGCTGTAGTATCATTTAATACAGGTGGCAATTATATACGAGAGCTTCACAAAAAGATAACAACCAAAAGTCCAGGTACATTATTTAAAAAGTACTTATAGTGAGTTTAATTAATTAATTTTAATTTTATAATATTATTATGGCATGAATTAGAATTTAATTGAAATTTTGAGTTTTTTACAACAACGCTTTTAAATTAAAATTAAATAAATACTACCAAAACTTATATTTCACATTTCACATTTTTATATTTTGGTATATCGTATTAGCT